CCTCCCCCCAAGGTACACACGTTCGACGGAGACGGATGCATCAAAGCATATCGCGATACCAGATTTGCTGACATTGAAGAAGACGGAGGAGACAGACGAATAACGCGCTATACATGCGCATTTAGAAAACATATTTAGAAAACACCGTTTCTGGGACAGTAAAGTCAATCATTTTGAGTTCTGCCCTGTAGCTTTTGATGAGGACCAAAACCTGGTTGATTGTATTTCTTACAGTGTTTGATAGGACTGTTGTTCAACAACCCCCAACACCAGCCCTTCGTCTTTAACTTTAGAACCTTCATTGTATTATTTTTGTTAGCAGTTTGTGCGTTGTTCGCAACCCCCGCCTGCAGCGGCTGCACGCCAACTTGTCTGCCGGCTGCGCACTCTGGTCGGGCGGGTCCCGCCCTAGCCTGTCGCGCGAGTCAGACCCGGGGTCAGACCAGACCCGGGCTAGACGCACAGGTCTGGACCCCTGGACCCGATAGGATACCCGGGCTACCCCGAAGCACGAGGGGTGCGCACGGGAACAATGCCGGCAGGGGGGAGGGGAGGGGGGACCCAGACGGGCGAGGGGAAGGGGAGGAGGAGGCGTCTGGCACGGGGTGGCGGAGAAGTTAGGGGTCGAAACGTCATCGCCTAGAATGCACCTTCCCCCCTCCCTCCATCTCTCAAACAAACACAAAAACGCCGAAGAAACTGAACGGTGCTACTGGGCTCCTTTTATCACGCCGAAGGTAAACTGTCCTTCAACGAGACGCAAGAGTTCCTCTGCAGCCTGGAGCCTCACATTCAAACAGCGCTAGTCAAACCCAAACTTCAGGACGAAAATCAAACCAGATCGAGCCGGTTTCGAACCCAAGCTGGGCACGCTCCGGACCGCTCCGGACCGGCGGGGAGGGGTGCTGATCTAGCCCCGGGCCAGAGTCTGGATCGGACCGGAGAGGGAGGGAGCGTAGGAGAGCGGGGAGGGGGTGGGGTTCCTGTCACGAGCAAGTAGCCCGTGGCAAAAGGCCCTCTAAAACAGCGAAACCGCACGGAGAGAGGCGAGGAGGGGGGGAGGGGGGATAGTGGTAGGGGTTGCCCGCAGCGCGCGTCTAGTTCAACTTGCCGAGGCATAGTAATATGAATAGCCCAGCCTGCCGCGCGCGCGTTTTGGAGGTTTCGCCTGGAGGCGGGGGGAGCGGAGGGGAGTCGTTACACCGCCCAATCGCATTCTTTGTTTTCGGCATTAGGGTAGGATGGAGGCAGCTGCCGCCGAGCCGCGCGCGGGGCGGGGTGGGGCGGGGGGACGGGGACTGTGGCATGGGACGAGTCCGCGGGCGTTGTTTCGTTGACAAGTTCGGATCGTTGTGCTAAGACCAAAAGTCAGGTTCGAAGAACACGTATACCCTAATGTAATAATAATTAAAAGGATTATGAATAAAAACGAAAATGTCGAGGTGCTTCCGACGGTACAGAGTAGGAGGGATTATGTTGGGTCGCCAAATTGCTATCGTTTGTAAGAGATCAAGGCAAAAGTCCACTAAGAATAATCTTTGCCATATTTTTTTCTAATTCTCCAATTAGTCCACACGTTTACGTTTCCTCCGATCGAACGGCTCGCACTCGCCACAATCTTTGCTGAAACACCTTCCAAAACTTATCCAGTCTAAGGACGCAGGACTGAAGAGCCGAAATCTGCATTTAGAGCGACAACGAACAGTGGATCTAATTATTCGGACGCGTAAACAGCCCCGCCCCGGTGCCCCACCCCATCCCACCTCGCCCCGCCTCGACCTGGACGCGACACCCAGAGCCCTTCCCGCAGACAGACGCCACCGCCCGCCCCTCTTGCAATATGGCCCACCTAGATAATCGCTTCAATTTTTTCCCGCAAAGGTCGCCGGCACCCGTCTTGTATAAAAGCCGGGCAGCGCCTGGAGTAGGCACTTAGTCGTCTGGTTCCCTTTGTTGGAGCCACTCCCAACACCCTCTTCTCTCCTCACTACGATGGTGCCCATGAAGACCGTGGTGAGTAAGAGCCTCTGTGGCCTCCCACTGCAACAGGGACTCCTCGACGTGGACCTGAGCGAGCGTGCGCGCCGTGTTCCAGGTGCTGGCGGCGCTGCTGATGGCATGCGCCCTGTGTGTCCTGGCTGACGACCAAGATGGCAACGGGGGCGGCGGGTCGGCGGCTACGCTGGACAGGTCCAAGAAGCACTCGGGTAAGTACCCCAGCCCCGGGGGGACGTAGCATAGGGCCGTCCTACTCACGCCCCCTCAAAGTGTACCCTGCTCTGCGTGCTGCAGCGTACCCCGCGGCCGCCGCGGCCGCTGCCGCTGCCGGGTGGCCGTCCAACCCCTACGCCGGCGCCTACAACCCGTACACCACCGCCACCTACAACCCGTACGGTGTGAACCCCTACGCCGCCGCTGCCAACCCCTACGCCGCCGTCAACCCGTACGCCGCAGGAGCAGTCAACCCTTACGCAGCCGGCGCCGTCAACCCGTACGCTGCCGGTGCAGTCAACCCGTACGCCAGCGGCGCCGTCAACCCGTACGCCGCCGGCGCTGTGAACCCCTACGCTGCTGGCGCAGTCAACCCTTACGCCGCCGGTGCGGTCAACCCTTACGCCGCGGGCGCCGTCAACCCAGCCTACGCCGCGGGCGCCGCGTACAACCCGTACGGGGTGACGCCCGCCGGCGCGCACGCCGCCTACCCCTACGCGCCGTACGCCCGCAACGCGGCGGGCGCCGGCGGCGTCCTGCCACCCGGCCTGGCCGTCCCCGGGGCGTCCCTGCACGGCGTCGGCGCGGGCGTACCCCAAGTGCCCGGCGTCCACGTGCCGGCCAGCCCCTACTACGGCTGAGGGTGCACGTCGTGTGGCAGCCAGCAGCGCCGCCTACGGCGCCCGGTTCAACCATGTGGTCCAATAAACAGCGATTGAGG